CGAGCCAAAAGCGCGGGAAGGCAGTGGTGGTGGAAATTGGGTGCGCACAGGATGGAGGGGAACAGGGCGAAGACACAGTGCCAAATAATTGAACAGAGGTGGACGGTGCGAGGTGAATTGAACGGGCGCTGACGTGGGGTCTTAAGATGGCCGACGGCGAGGAAAACTTCAAATTGGGCCTCGACATGGTACGGTTGCAACAGTGGTTGAGCTCGGCGCGTAGCTAGGATCCCACTCAACCATCAGGCGCACTCAATTGCATGGATTTGACCGGCGCTGCGAGCTGGCCTTGGCGCGGCTCGACGACTCCGGCGCGACGCCATTAAAGGCGGAGGTGACCCGGGAAGGCAGCGTGGCGCTTGCCACTCAATAGACGAGGACAAGGTCACACACAGGAGATACACGTGCGTGTATGGAGAAGACACGGTTCGCGCGGCCGCAACGCCTTAATTTGCAAGCCGACGGCGACACAACCATGTGCCGGTGTCGCAGGCGCGCACAACAGCGGCAGTGGCGATGCGACGCAGCAGTGCGGGTGCACGCGAAGCGACAACGCGATGCAGAGGAAACGTGCGTGCTGGCGAGGGCGGTTGTGGCCCTGCGATGCCACGCACCCGAGAGGACGGCGACTGGCGGAGCAGGACTGGCAACAGAGCGACGCGAGCGGCTCTAGGGAACCAACAGTGGCGACAACATGCATCGCGGCGGTGAGGCGAGCCCGCTGCCAGCCAGGGATGTCGGCCACCGCAGCCAGCCGAGCACGACCGGCACGCGCGCGCGCGGCCGGCGCGCTAATGACGGCACCGGAGCACGGTGACCGCATCCAGACGCTGACACCGGCCAGAAACGTGCCATGCACAAAATTTAAAGCGTCCCAAAAATCAAACTCAGTTACTTCAGGCGCCAAACCACCTTTTCTATCCGGAAGAGGGTATGTTAAAGAGAGAATTCCTTATTTGACACTGGAAAAATGAGTCGTTCCTTTTTTGGCCCTGAAATTTTCTTCGTTCCCTATTTGACACTCACTTCAACTTTTATTCCTAATTTGACACTCTGATCAAATCCGTTAATAACAATGTTAACTAGCTGTTAAAAAGACGTTTTTGCTCCTAGAAAAAAACGACGAAGCAAATTTGAGAGAAAAAAACCTGCGCCCGCCTACGATGCATGCGTCTAGTCAAAAAAAAAGGCGCAGGGCTTTTTTCCTCTCAAATTTGCTTCGCCGCTTTTTTTCTAGGGCCAAAAACGTCTTTTTAACAACCAGTTAACACCGTTAGCTAACGGATTTGACGGTAGTGTCAAATTAGGGATGAAAGTTGAAGTGAGTGTCAAATAGGGAACGAAGAAAATTTTAGGGCCAAGAAAGGAACGACTCATTTTTACAGTGTCAAATAAAGAATTCTCTCTATGTTAAACTACTAAAACAAGCCCTAATACCCCACCATTAATTAACCCAAATCCCCTACAAAAATTGCCAAACTTGACCTCGCCGAACCAATTTCCAACTTAAGAAATTTGACAGTCTTGCCCGGATTCGCGTCAACCTCGATTTCCAAGCTACCAACCATGCTAGCTAGGGAATTCATTTCTCGATCGCAGGTATTTCATCGTCACCTACGAAGTTTGTACTACAAACTTTATTAAAATTATGTATATACGTTCTATAGCATTTTCGCTTAATAAAAAATCATTTACAACCCTAAGTGACATAACGCGACATTGAATGTAACTTTCGTTTCGCGTTTCCGATGAACGTTTTGGGTCACAGAATTTGATTTACACACTATATTACATACACTATCACATAAACATGATGCCCATGCAGTATTTTAGCAAAAGATTTACAGTGTAACACCGAGGGTGTTACAGTGGATCCGTCGGCGTCGAGCTCGGGGAGTCCGGATCTGTCGGCTACGCGCTCTTGGAGGCTTGACGGTGGCAGCTCCCGGCGCCGCACGGTTCCGGGCTCGGTGGGATTTTTTTAATTCGTCAAATTGTTTGTTTACGGAGGCGGGCATTTGCAACCTTGAATGGAGGCGGTTGCCATGCCCGCCTCTATTAATCTCTTTTGTCCGCCTTCAAAAAAGCTCTGTGTAGTATTGTTCATAAAAGTTGGCTACAACCACTGCATAACCATTTTTGTATTTCTGCTGATGTAATAATAGCAGTCCTATTTTCTGCAGTAGCTAGCGTTCCTATCCATTTCAAACTGTAGTATTGTAGCCAGGATGTATGCCCGACTGTACTCCTAGACTTAATTCTTAATATTGTCGTCTAAGCTGCAAGCTACACGCATCGTAGTAGACATGAGAAAAATCCATAGACCCGATGCAACGCACGGGCATAGTTCTAAAAGAAAAAAAGAATAAGCTGTCGGCGGTTACCTTATTTTGACATCTAGTAGTGTGATAAAATGGGTTCGTGGGCTCGTCCACCAGCCCATGTGCACCGTTTTTCGCTCGGCCCAAGTGCATCCAATTCCAATTCCTATTGGACATTCCTATTCCTCCTCTCAACCGTCCGTGCCGCTGGTGGTGATGGTCGTGTCCAATGGTCGCCACTTTGGGCCCATCGCAAGCCGACTCCTACGAGAGCTTGCACATTTGACGGCCGGGCCGAGGTGCCGCGCAACGATGGCCTCATCACTGACGACGGCATCATCCAAGCACAAGCACACCCATGCAGCGCTCGCCGGTCAGATGAGTCTCGACTCCTGTTTTTGCTTATATACATTTGTGGTCGGAGCTAGGAACGAACCATGTACCTAATGGCTAATGACAACTGAATTAACAATGCCTGGCCCGTTCCAACTCTGCAGGGAAGATTTTTTTTTCTTTCTGAAGCAATACTTTGTGGTTCATGTTGGGTTTTATGAGTACAATGTTAACTGATGCTGGTTAGAGTATTATTAAGCTTTCAACTGAACCCCTATGTGGTAAGTCCCTGAACCCTGAAGCTGCTGCCATGCATGCATAATCTCATGTCCCAAGTTCCTGGAGCATCAGCATGCCATGGTTCTGGTTCCCAAATTTGTGCATGATGATGCCAGTGCAGCAATGCCGCATTTTGCCGAGTTTATGGGTACCAAACAGTAGGGCACAGCTCCACCAGAAGTGGACCTTCCAACAGGAAAAAAAAAAAAAGTTCATGATTGACCTCCCAAGCAGCAGGCAGAGGCAGGCAGGCATGTCAGCCCCAACAATGCGACTTTGCTGCACTCTTTCTAGCGAAGACACGAGCTGAGCTTCGAGTTCTGACATCCAAAACGAAGGAGAGCATGCGCATTTGATTTCATTTCCTCAACTGGAAGCATTGGAAGAAATCATCATCATTGCTGGAATGGGAGCGAAGAGTCGAAAAAGGAGAACAGAGGCAGACAGATTGCAAGAACTGCTGTGCCTGTGCGTTGCCAAGCCGTCAATGAACATCCAGCAAAGTCAAAAAGGCTAGAGAGAAAGTGTGGCTGGTGACAAATACCTGCCTTTGATGCTACAAATTGCGGGTTTCGCGTTCAGCTCGGCCACTCGGGTGCAGTGCTTAGCTTAGTTGCATCCAAAGCAGGGCTAGAAAGTCTCATAGCATTTTTTTGGGAAAAGGCTAATGATATCGATGCAAATTTGTTTAAATATTCAGCCACGACATGGCACTAATAATTCCTCCAGCTGACAATGGCCTGCTGAGTGCCTCCACACACATGTGCATTAGCATGTCTGTCTAGGTCCTCATTGCTTGCCACTGAAGCATTACGCCATGGTGTTGCTATAAAAGGAGTTTCATTTCCGTTCAAAAAAAATGTATTAGTGTTATTTTGTCAATGAGTGTTTTTTTTTGGTGATGTTACGTATATATTTTTATGAAATCATGTAGTAATATTCAGGCAATGATGGCAATACGCCAATACGGCATGCATATTGGCATGTATGATATGGCAGGATTGCCTGAACCTGAAAGAGTGAGCTGGGTGAAGGGACCCAGTGGCAGGTCATGGTGGCCATGCCCAACCAACTCCAATTTCATGTCGCCGGCACAGCTTACACTGGATCTGATCCTCAGCAGCAGGACCCGGAGAGAAATTATGAAAAGGGCAATTTGCATGGACCATGGATGCTTGAGTTTGGATATAATGTCTCTGCTATAAAAAGGAGAGCAGAGGCATTTCTTGTTCGAAAAATAAAGAAGGAAAAACACTTGACTCGTATATTTTTGTTTCTTTAGACTTTGGAGCAAACATATAACATTTTCAGGGATACAAAATGCAACTGTTTTACGGATCCAATAATTTGTAGGTGGTAAGGACTTTCAGTATCACGTCGATAATTTGTAGGTAGTAAGGACTCTCAATAATTTGTACTAGTAGTAGCTACTAGCATTATTCACACCAATTCAAATTCAAAGATCTTCTGGACAGAACAAATCTTACATTTCATTGTAATATATAATAATAATAACAATGGTTTGATCTTATAGACTCCATATTTAGCAATAAGCATTCACATAGTACTAGCCCAAATCTCTAGACATTATAAGCCCGGATCAATCAAATAAAGGCAATGCAGCAATTACATGTATAGCCTGGAAGTTGGGTCCTAATAATAAAAGAAAAATAAAAGTGAAAAATTAGTAAAAAGTGAACCTCACGTGCTGGCCTTGTTGTGGTCACGTGACAACCCTTCCTTCCTCTAGTTTTCCCGGCAAAGACAACTCGGCAAATCCGCCCCCTAATTCCGCGCCAATATTTAACCCCCTCTCCCCTCCGATAAACCCCGGAGAGGAATTGACTATTTACACTCAGATCCCCGAAGAACACCACAACTCCATGCACACCCCCTTCCGTGGAGCAGCTCTGAGCTGGAAACTTTCCAATTGGGCCTCTAAAAGGATCTGACCGTGAAGTTGAGGCCCCTTCTCCTCATTTCCAGGCTGCCACGCCTCCACCCTCCCCGGCCGGAGAAGACCCTGATGCGGCTGCGGCCGGAGTTCTGAGGTTGGTTGGATTGGATATGGGTGGGGTGACTTCATCGGTGGCCTCCAAGATGGCGTTCTTCCCTCCCGACCCGCCGTCTTACGGCGTGGTCGACGAGGAGGACGAGCCAGCGGCGACGGCAGCGGCGGCGGAGGATGCGGCGTCGTGTAAGGTGGCAACGAGGAGGGTGGCGATGACGGGCGTGCGGTGGAGCGTGGGCGTGGAGGCGAGGCGGGTGCGGACGCGGCGGGGCTCGGAGATCATCGCCGTGTACGTGCGGCACCCCGGCGCCAGCCTCACCCTTCTGTTCTCCCACGGCAACGCCGCCGACCTCGGCAAGATGTACGGGATCTTCGTCGAGCTCAGCGCACGACTCCACGTCAACCTCATGGGGTGAGTGATGAAGCGCGCTCGTGTTGTTGTGTGATTGACTGGTTTCTCCGATGCTTTTGACTTGGTTGGCCGAACAAGATTACTACTTTATTATTAGTTATACTGGATACTGGATGGATGATGATCTTGTGGAAAGAGAGGATTTTTTTTTTCTGTAGAGATCAAATGATCTTGTGAAAACTGATCGGGACACATTTTTCTTTTTTTTTTTTTTTTTTTTCGTTTTTGAAAGAACGAACATATCTTTTTCTAGAAGGCCACAACTCACAATCTGATAAGATCATGGTTTGATCCTTTAGAATGGGCGTGCTTTGATTACTTACGGAAAAAACAAATGTTTGCCTTCTGTCGCTTTCCGTGTTATTAATTGTTTTCTCTGTCTGAGTGGTGAATTGAATATGATGAATATAGTGATCATACATGTCCTCCTACGTTATTGAGCGGGGTAATCAGGTGCTGCATGCTACTTCGATTTGCATTGATTGTTTTCATTAGCTTATAGTATTTCTGAATGGGGGTTTGATTTCTTGTTAAAGATTTATCATGTGCAATTGATACTCCTGATTCTTTTGGGGAGATCAGATTTTCGTCTGATTGTTGAGAGAGTTGCACACGTTATTTGGCTATAAGGTTTAGTTTGACATCTATATTAGGTGCAACTGATGTAAATTTTGTTGCTGCTGCACTGTAGCAGAAAAATTCGTTTTTTCATTCTGCAATCGATTTATTGTCAATCCGGAACCTGTAAAAATATTGTGTTTGGGAAATATTTTGTCTTTTGTCTCCGTCTGAGGTGAAGATGTTATTGACACTTTTCTTGGTAGGATAGGATAGTTCTATACTCTAGTGAAGTTCATTCTGCATTCGGAACCTGTTTGGTTTGGCTGGTGCAAAAGTAGCCCAGTTCTATGCCCATCTTTTCTTGAAACCCGCCATCTTTTTTGTTTAATTTTTACTAGGCACTGTAGATAGAAAGCTAATCATTGGACAACAGTCAGAGAGTAGAGCACTAAAGTTTGCTTGATATCATTGCTTGATTAGCCTACACGATCTGGACTGTTCGTTGAAGCTGTATTTTCAACTTGTTTATGTGGGTCACTCTCACTCATGGCAACAGCATTTTGACCTTTCATTGGACTTGCTTTTCTCTGCTGGAGCAGTATATTAAATTCGACTATCGTACATCATGTTTTAAATTTATTTGCTATTTGACTTAACTATTTGGCTACACAATGACACCTCAAGTATACACAGTAAAACAACCCCGTCCACATGCCCCTGATATTATCCTGGCATGAAATCCTTCGCTCGATCAAGGGATCAAGATCGGGACTGTTGGATTGGATTCGTAGCAAACTAGCAAACAAACCCAGACATAACAGAACAGCTAATTGGATGTTACATCAATGATGCAGATATGCTGCATGAATGAACCACACGATGGCCCAGAACACGCAAGGGTGCTCATTACGGAACATACTGTTAGGTGAAACTAGTCTTACATAGTAATTTTTTAGTTTTCATGTTGACCATGAAAATGCTTACATAATTTTTAGCTCTATATATAATTATGTCAAATGGAAGCTTGCCTGCATGGCTGAATCTTGCACTAGGAGTATGAGTTTTATTCCTTAACATGAGCTGTAAAATGCAAAGTAGAAATAATCCCAGAGAAGCTGTACAGATACATCCTTTATTTTACTCTCTTGAATTAACAAGTACAATTAAGTACAATGCACTAACTGGATGCACGTCCACACTACCTGTTAAGTAAAGAGGGCAAGAGGGATTTTGAGACAAGAGGGTGGGGTTAGATGCAGGAGTTTGAAGAAAAGGAGGGAACAATGATGTGGTCCAGGGGTTTGTTTGCCCATCAAAGTGAGACAAAGAGACAAAGAGAGTGATGTGTAGGAGCTGTCGACAGAACATGCATAGATTGATTAAAAAGATATAGCCATCAAACGATTTTTTTAAAGATGGTTAAAAGATAAAAAGTTTCATGAAATACAATATTACTTTGGATGAGCTGAAATCAGCAAATCGCACTGATAATTAACTTCAGTTTTTCTAAAACCCCAATTGACAAAATCCAAAACAGCCGATGTTGCATCCTGTATATCAACTATTAGTATCCTTATGACAGAAAGTCTCTTGACGAAGTCCAAGAGAGTTTATGTGCAAACTGTATCAACTGTTAATGTTATGTTGCAGTATGATCATAAAATTTATTCTAGATTTCATTTCCATCTCCCACAATCATTCTAATTTTCTTTGCAATATTTTACTAGTTCATTGTGAATTTTTTTTTTTGGATATGGACATTTTCATTGACGTGAAGATGTTGGTCAGGCTATCTGGTTTATTCGTTCTTGCTGAACCATGTAAATAGTTATTGCTTGCTGCAAATCTATGTCCTTCTTGAAGCTTTAGCAAATTCTCTGTCATGCCTTTCTGACGATTGAAGTTGCCTGTCTTAGAATAATTCCATCGTTCTTCGCAGGTATGATTACTCTGGTTATGGGCAGTCATCAGGCAAGGTAATTTATCTCTGTCCTTTTTTAAAACTATGCTCTTACGGTACCATATCACCTTCAGTCGAGGGGCACCTCACAACATTATTCTTGGCCTTTCTTGTTACAAAAGAGGCTTTGAAACTGATTCATGCTAGAGTGAGTTTGATTCAGGGGACGTTTGTTCTGAACTAGTTCATCTTTTTAGCAGTCGAACCATTTTTAGGATAAAACAACAGTGCTAACACAATCTTTCTGTAAAATCCATGTTCAGCCAAGTGAAGCTAATACCTTTGCTGACATAGAGGCTGCATACAAGTGCCTTGTGGACGTTTATGGAACTAGGGAAGAAGACATTGTTCTGTATGGTCAGTCTGTTGGCAGCGGACCAACCCTTGATTTAGCTGTTCGTTTCGATCGTGTAAGAGCTGTTGTTCTACACAGTCCAATACTGTCTGGATTGCGTGTCATGTATTCTGTGAAGAAAACGTACTGGTTTGACATATACAAGGTTTGCCTCTCTGTCTGAAGTATCAAGATGAATGATATACATCCTGTATATGCTAACACTTGTTCCATTTGCAGAACATCGACAAAATCCCCCATGTTAAATGCCCGGTTTTGGTAATCCATGTAAGCTCTTTATACACATCTACGTGGTAGTATTCTTCAACTAGCTTCAGATCATTAATAAACTGGATCATTATTTTCATTTTCAGGGCACAAAAGATGACGTCGTCGACTGCTCCCATGGCAAGCGGCTCTGGGAGCTGTGCCAGCACAAGTATGAACCTCTCTGGATTGAGGGAGGTGACCACGGCAACCTGGAGAAATTCCCAGTGTACATACGACATCTGAAGAAGTTCTTATCGACCATAAAGAAGTTGCCATCTGAAAAAGATGAGCATGAGACATCGGCAGCTGAAAACAGAACGCAGCCTGACAGTGAAGCCATCTCTGAGGCTCCTTCTCGCATGATCTCGCGAAGGCTAGAGCCATTGAAGAAGAACACGATCCATGAAGAGCATACGCTGAGCACCGAGCACGTAGATAAGCGCAGGCGAAGCACGGGCCACAGGGAGAAGGCGAGGTCCAGCACAGACAGGAGATCGAGGAGGAGCGTGGACTGCTTCGACAGCATCCTCGAACATGAGCAGCCGGAAAAGCCAAGGAAAAGCTTTGATAGGTTGGTTTCTGCCTCCGCTGTCGTGTCATGGCCATTGCAATTTGCTTATTTCAGTCGAGATGAGGAAAATTCAGCCCCGTCAGTCATTCTTTCCCCTACAAGTTTAAAATATTTTCTCATTGTTCTTGTGCAGGATCGGAGAGAAGATTAGAGCCATGGGTCTGTGCAATGTGGACTGCTTCAAAGAGCCTCCTGACAGCGGTGAGCTTAGCCGAGGTCGATGAATGGAATGGGTTTCTGGTTGCTGTCAGTGTCAGTGTTTTTCCCTTGTTGCTTAGATATAAAAGAAAACTGCGTGATGGGAATGTTAATCATAAGATGTTCACGAACAGTAAAGAGGAATATAGCACGATCTTTATGTCAGCTTCTGATTCTCTTTTACACTTGTATACGTTACGTTGCTTGAAGCTAGCTTGTAAACACACACACACAGAACACAACGCTGTGAGTGTCCGGATAGAGACTGCTCAGTCTGTTATCAGCAACAGCAAGAAAGATACACCCTCCGTCCAAAAATATCTCGCTTTGTGAAGAATCAAGCCTTCAAGTAGAAAATAGCATGAACATTTGTATATCTAAATAAGTTTATTATAAAAAATATTTGACGATTAATCCAATAATATTTATTACATGCCATATATATTAGTATTTTTATATGTTTAGTTAAATTTGAAAATATTTTAATTTCATGAGAAGTGAGGTGCATATTTTTATTGGATGGGAGTAGCTTCCAACACCGAGGGCTTGCAGGAATTGGAATTTCACGGGAATCGCACAGAAATTTCACAGAATCAGTTTAATTTGACAGAAAAAACACAATAACAGAAAAAAAAAAATTCCGCGTTCCAAAAGGCCCGGAGGCGGCTACAATCATCACGTATGATTTCATGACATTGCGATAAATGGGCCTATGAAAGCAGAAGAAAGAGGCCTATTTGGGCTTATGAAAGCAGAAAAAAGAGGCCCGGCTCACAGTCACAGTGACTCAGTGACAGTGTTGGGGCCCAGCTGCTTCTAGAAGCTTCGGCCGCGCCTCATCTCATCTCCTACCTCCTGTTGAACCCTCCGGCCTCCCACAGCTTACTACAAAAACCCTAACCCACATCCCTTATCCTCTTCTGCTCCCTCTCCCCCTCCCTCTCTACGAACGTTGGCGCGCAAGCTCGTGGCGTGCGCGGTCACCGTCTCCCATCCCATGGCGCCGGCGCTGAGCGGGACTCTGGGCGCGTCGTCGGTGGCGGCGCTGCGGCCCTGCGCGGGCAGGAGGGCGCCGTCCGCCGCGACCTCGGTTGCGCCGCGGGGGAGCGGGGCGGTCAGGTGCGCCAGAGGGCTCAGGTGGGAGACCCACAGAAGCAGGGGGAGGTCGCTCAGGGTGAGGTGCGATGCGGCCGTCGCCGAGAAGCCCGCCGGGGAGGAGGCGGCTGGGGAGAAGTTCGAGTACCAGGCGGAGGTGAGACATGGGCACGGTCCATATATATCTGTAATTTCAGATGGAATTTTTAATTGACGTTCGTCCGTACACCTTGAGAATTTTTTGAGGGGTTGAATTAATGTGATAAGGTTACCCACAGTTCAGCAGAAATGTTGCCAAAGTATGACCGAGTTTGATTATGTGCGACCACTGGTTACTGAAACATGTATGTTTGTTTCTGTTCTACCTTGTAGGTGAGCCGGTTAATGGATTTGATCGTCCATAGTCTATACAGTCACAAGGAGGTATTTCTCCGCGAGCTTGTTAGGTCAGTACCTTTTTGCTGGAACCTGGAAACCTATGGCAATTCATTCGATGCCATTATTCATGGATTCTACTTATCTGCTGCTCTACCAGCAACGCAAGTGATGCATTGGATAAGCTGAGGTTTCTCGGCGTGACTGATTCCTCTTTGCTTGCTGATGGCGGTGAGCTGGAAATAAGGATTAAGCCTGACCCTGATGCTGGAACGATTACTATCACGTAAGTTCCTGTTAATGACAGAACTACTTGTTGGTGTTCTGTGAACAGACTCTAATGGCATGACTTTCTGGTGGCTATTGGTTTCAATAGTGACACTGGTGTTGGTATGACTAAAGATGAGCTCAAGGACTGCCTTGGTACCATTGCTCAGAGTGGTACCTCAAAATTTCTGAAGGCCCTCAAGGTGCAGCATCATACCTTCCTTGACAATTGTGCATACATCTATGAGTATGGGATATGGGCCTAAATGCTGTAGTGTCTATGTGATTGTTTCATTGTCTTTTTCCTTAATGTCAAAATGTATTGCTCTTCAGGAAAACAAAGACCTTGGGGCAGACAATGGTCTAATTGGTCAGTTTGGTGTTGGATTTTACTCAGCTTTTCTTGTTGCAGAGAAGGTTTGAGATATTTCTTGGATGCTTTTTTTTTCTTAAATAATTTTACATGGAATGAGCTTTTTCTCATTTTGCACTGGCTTAGATCGTTATTTAAGTTGACATTTTGTCAAACCCACATTGCAGATTGTGGTGTCCACCAAGAGTCCAAAATCAGATAAACAGTATGTGTGGGAAGCTGTGGCTGACAGTAGCTCTTATATCATCAAGGAAGAGACTGATCGTGAGAAAATGCTTACACGTGGAACTCAGATTACTCTGTTTCTAAGGGTATGTTGCTATGTTCTTCTGATATGCCAGGAAATGCTTTTTCTTAATAGCAACCTTACGTTAATATGTCTTCTATAGCCTGATGATAAGTACGAGTTTGCGGACCCTTCAAGGATTCAAGGCTTAGTAAAAAACTACTCTCAGTTTGTGTCTTTCCCCATATACACATGGCAGGAGAAATCAAGAACTGTTGAGGTAGGGTCTTGACAAAGCTTCTTACTTCTCTTGACCATACCAGTTCTTTTGATCTATGAATGTGTATTGTCTTTTCATTTATTTCACTGATGTAATCCCCCCTTGATTGACAGGTTGAAGAGGATGAAGAGCCGAAAGAAGGTGAAGAGGCAACAGAGGTTAGTTTTTCTGAATGGACTCCTAGTTTTCCTTATGTTTGTAGAATCTTGCTTCTTTTGCAACTGATTAGGCATACTTTGACATATAGGGTGAGAAAAAGAAGAAGAAGAAGACTGTTACTGAGAAATATTGGGACTGGGAACTAGCCAATGAAACAAAACCCATATGGGTAAGTCTGGAGTTACTATTGCCTGTTCATACTTAGAACAGCACCCTTCTGGTACTTGCGATCACTTTGGTCTCCAAGGTAGTAAGGGCTAATGAAGAAAACAGACAGTTGATTTCTATTCCCTCCATGCAGATGAGAAATCCAAAGGAAATTGAGAACACTGAATACAATGAGTTCTATAAGAAGACATTCAATGAGTTTTTGGACCCTCTTGCCCACACTCACTTCACAACAGAGGTGTGTGAATTCATTAAACAACTCTGTGAAACACTTAAATTCATGTACATTGTATATAGTCAATAACTTGATCTTTTCTATAAACAGGGTGAGGTGGAATTCAGGAGTGTTCTTTATGTTCCAGGCATGGCACCACTTAGTAATGAGGAGATAATGAATCCCAAGACCAAAAATATCCGGCTATATGTTAAAAGAGTCTTCATCTCCGATGACTTCGATGGTGAACTGGTACACTATCTTGCAACACTAATAATATATTGTTATTATTTTCTACTATCCATCGATTGAGATGGAACGGATTATTCATTTTAGCGTGCATCTTGCAGTTTCCAAGATACTTGAGCTTTGTGAAAGGTGTGGTGGATTCAAATGACCTTCCCCTCAATGTTTCTCGAGAGATTCTTCAAGAAAGTCGAATTGTAAGTAATGGGTGAAACACCTGCCAGTTTTTCCTCTACCCCTTTGAAATTTTATATTCTGAAGGTTCTTACTGTTGATATATTTAGAGAAAATCTTATGTTTTTTGTTGTTCAGGTAAGAATTATGCGCAAGCGACTTGTCAGGAAGACATTTGATATGATTGAAGAGATTGCCGAAAAGGAAGATAAGGAGGTACAACCGGACCTTTAGTCTGCTCCTAGTTAATTTGTTTACTTGATATTGATGCTCTTTAATTTGTTCTGTAGGATTATAAGAAGTTTTGGGAGAGCTTTGGCAAGTTTATTAAGCTTGGTTGCATTGAGGACACAGGGAATCACAAGCGCCTTGCCCCATTGTTGCGCTTCCACTCTTCTAAAAATGAGGGAGATACAATAAGTCTTGATCAATATGTAGAGAGCATGCCTGAAAGTCAAAAGGCAATCTACTACATCGCTACAGATAGTCTCCAGAGTGCAAAGACTGCTCCTTTCTTGGAGAAGCTGGTCCAAAAAGATATTGAAGTATGTACTTGACATAGACACAATTGACTTTTTTTTTAACGTAAAGACACTATTGACTATGAGAGAGACATGTTCTTTCTTCTTTTCATACTTTGGCTCAGGGTACTCTTGCTTTTTTTTATTAGGTTCTCTACCTTGTTGAGCCCATAGATGAGGTTGCCATTCAGAACTTGCAGACCTACAAAGAGAAGAAATTTGTGGATATCAGCAAAGAGGATCTGGAATTGGGTGAGAAAATGCTGATGCTTGCTCAGAGTGGTTATCACTGTTTGATTACTTCCATCGCATTGAATTGAAGATTCTTTATTTATTGTCGCAGGTGATGAAGAGGAAGAGACTAAAGAAACCAAGCAGGAGTTTACTCTCCTATGCGATTGGGTTAAACAACAGCTTGGTGACAAGGTTGCGAAGGTCCAAATATCAAAGCGTTTAAGTTCATCTCCATGTGTTCTTGTATCTGGCAAGTTCGGTTGGTCCGCCAATATGGAAAGGTAAGTTTATTGTTAAGCCATTGCTTTGTTTAGTCATTATCTGATTCCTCGTACATATGTATTTCTCAAAATCTGACAGGCTCATGAAGGCGCAAACACTTGGTGACACATCAAGCTTGGAATTCATGAGGGGAAGAAGGATTTTCGAAATCAATCCCGACCACCCAATTATCAAGGATTTGAGTGTAAGACCATTACCCCTTGGGAATCAATTGTCAAACTTAAGAACAATTAACATGCTTGAGCTATATGAAGTAACTAATCTGAATGATAAATTATTGTTGGCAGGCTGCTTGCAAAAATGAGCCCGATAGCACAGAAGCCAAGAGGGCTGTTGAGCTCCTATATGAGGCTGCTTTAATCTCAAGTGGATATATTGTAAGTACAATGGAATACATTTATGGATTTTGATGGTCTTGGTGAAAATCATTTATTAAAATGTTGGAATGTTTGTCATAATTCCAGCCGGAGAGTCCAGCAGAGTTGGGTGGCAAGATCTATGAGATGATGGCGATTGCCCTGGGTGGGAGATGGGGAAGGTCCGACACGGAGAAGGCCGAGGCATCAACGGGTGAGGCCAGCGCAGAGGCAGACTCATCTGAAGGCACCGTAACAGAGGTGATTGAGCCCTCGGAAGTTAGACCCGAGAGCGACCCATGGAGGGATTAGTGAGTTCTCCCACGGACATCTTTTGTTAGAACTTCATATTTAGCAGTGCCGGGGGTAAAATTAAGGCCATGGGCTAGAGCATTATTTGGTTACAGATACTTCTAGACGGGTTCCTGCCGTGGCAATTTTTGTAGGTGTAGACTTGCTGGCCTCTAACATTTTATTGAGGTAGTAGTGGCCTTGGAAAACAATAAAGCATGGAGACTGATTACATAGCAAAATTGTGATGCCCCTCACAATATAATAATAAAAAAAGATGTTTGTGCACAAACTTCTTTTGGCTAATATAAAACTTCTTTTTTATTATTATGTTTGTGCACGGCTGTTTCCCTCCCTTTATAAGGAGATCAGATCAACAGTTTGTGTTGTTAGGCTGAGACCTCGGGTGAAATGCTTGAAACCACTAGCTTTTCGATGACCCGCTGAGGCTCCACCGAACGCCCCCAGCGCCCGTGGTCGGCTGGCGGCCTGCCGTATATTCGGCTGGCGGCAGCATGGCACAGCGTGCGGCCATTACTGGCGCACAAAAAGTGGCAGAAGTTTTGGTGGGCTGATGTGGGCAGCTGGCTGGCTTGGGTCGCCAGCGTGTTGTTGGAACTGTTTCGGTGACTCGCGGCCTCCCTGGCCGGCCGGCAGCCTGCGGTGGCCTGCTTCACGATGACCATAAGGAAACCATTGCCTGGTACTCGTATGTTGTTGCTGTTGCGGAAGCTGTTTTCACATTCCTGCATCGTTTCCTTTCGTTCTTACTGTAAGCTTACTGCAAGCAGCTTATGTCCCAGTGATCAACAGGGTAGAATGTCAAGATGAAAATGACCCGTTTTACGAGGTTCAAGTTATTGAAGCCAATATGATTCCATATGTTGCAACGCCTCAGCAAGTTTCAATGGGCAACATAATGTTACGAACAGAGAGCATGCGAAATCATCAACACTCACACTAAATCACAACAAACTGATCTGAAAAGGGATCCATGGAATAGCAAAGCCTACAACGAATATAATGATGAGAAATCTACAAAGAGCTGTGGTGGAAAAAAAAGAATAATAATAAGTAAAAAGAATAGAGTAGAAGCTGAGCGTTTAATCTGAACATGTCTTTTTGTGCTGCTCGCTAACTAGCTATATATATTAACTATAACCACACAAACAAATACGCTGCCATGCAGCAGCAATCCGTGTCTATTTTCAGTGTTTCTCTCTTCCTTTAGGAACACAAATTCACTTCACACTCTGACAGTGACGATTACCACTGACACTGTTTAATGTGCCTGCCTGTAATTGTAAACAACCGTGAGTGGTCCCTTGCCCTATCATCATTAGTTGAATGTTAATATAGCGCCGGTGCTACTTTGAGGCAAGTACTGTTGTAAACTGCGTTTCCGTTCAATGGCCGGGAATTTTCTTTCTACAGGGTTGTGTTGAAAGTTGAATTGAGCCTCAAGGCAAATTTTCTTCTGAAGAATACAAATAAGTAGGTTCTCCTAAACTCTCTCATTTCTACGTAGCTAGAATCTCAAAAGGAAAGAAAGAAAGAAAGAAGTTATTGTTTCTTCACGCAGATTTTTTCCCCCCGATCAATCTTCACGCAGAATTTGCAATGTACAGAGATGCTCTTATTCTGACTCCCTTAGCCTATCTAATTCTGCATAGAACATCACACAGAATAGAAAAAGAAGTATAAACATGGCTGCATAGCTGTGTATTTGTATGTGCCAAAATGCATCGTTACTGATGAACACATTACAATTCAGTACTCAAATGGACTCACAACCCAAAATTCCCAGCAGTCCGTGGCCTCTTTGGATCATTTCCTGGATGCACAGTGTCTAGTTGAGACTCCTGAAAGCATCTTGAGCCCTTTGTGCCTGCCCAAAACAACAAACTCGTAAGGACAAAAATAACAAAATGGCGGCATTTGCAGTTTTCCTGGAAGAAAATTAATACCAGCCTCTGCATCCATAGATGCACCAAGTCTATTATCTATCACAAACCATTCAGCACATAGCCTAATATCACAAAGTTAAGGAAATTAACAAGCCTAAAGAATTTTAAACAGACGTCTGCAGTGGCGTCCCACAGTAACAAATCTAACCTTCCAACAATTAACTTAACTGATCAAAAGAAGGTGGAAGCTTGCCCCAATTTAATCAACGAAATCTGGTACAACTCGCCTGAGTTAGTTACTGAAGAGCCCACAACAGCACGCCTCTGCGACGTATCTGCAAGGAAGCAACAAGCTTAGCATTCTGAAATAACAGCTTAGATAAAATTGCAGAAAACATTATTCACGTTACTTGGTTTGGATGAAGGTTTGACTTTTTTACTGGATATGACCTCACATCCACGAGCTAGCTTATGCTGAAAGTACGGAAAGTCTGCAGAGAAGAAACAATCTCAGCAATTCAAAAATGAAGCTAGTTTTTAACAGTGGTGAACCGAAATTACCTTCTTTTGACAAAACTTCAGGGAATTGCCCTTGCTCAAGCCCCAGAAGTCTACCAGCTTCAAAACATGTATCTGAAGACCACAAGAGTTTACCAGTCATTATTATAGAAGCAAGTCAAAAGTGACTTCGCAAAATAACTAGAAGTTGAAACTAAATTGGGGCCGTTGCTGTTTCGTTAGCTTGCATGTGGATCCAATTCAAATCATAACATACATGGTGTTTTATGCTATCAAGCCAATAATAACATCTATCAGGACGAAAATGTACAGACATAGGAGCAAATAAATAAGACAGAAAACAACAAACTCCCTCAAAAGGGGAAAAGTAGCTTTCAGGCAGAATAATTGGTAAAACTAGGTTTCACTCAATCTCGTTAGCACACCGGTTAACACGTAAATTGGTAAGCAAAATAATTACAGGAATGAAACAGAGGAAAAACTAGCTGTACCCTGTACGTACCAAATAGAGCTATCAGCGGCTCTCCTCCTACCCTTGCTGATTCTGCAGTTGAAAAGCTCAGTCATGAAGCAGAGCAATTGTATGGTATGAAACAAGAGCTAAATATATATCTTTTTCATGTGTATATGATGTTAGAAAAAGATGGCATTATCCAGACATGTCCGTTGACACTAGAATACCTGAATAGCTATGATCTGCCCCCGGACTCAAAGAAGAAGGTAGCCTAAACAAATTGCAGGCCCATTATTACTAGTGTAAAAACAACAAGCAGAAACAGCAAGAGGGTATCCACTCATGTGCATGTTGTACCTCTTCTTCATCTGAAGATAGAACTGGGCGAGATCAGTTGACTGCTGCTTCCGGTTTACATGCTTCACGCGACGCCTTTTTTTCAACGAACGGTAGGTAAGATTAGATAACTTGACCAGTAAATCAATCCATTGTTCTAGAACTAGAAACAGACAGTAGTGCGCACATACGTACTTGGACCCAATGGGTATAAAAGTGGTACAGGCTGTTCCTGCTGCGCGGGTACTGCATCCTATCCCTGAGCTCGGGCGCCTTGTAGGCCATCTCCTCGACCATCTTCGCTGCCTTCTTCCTGACGAGTTGCCAATCCAGGAAGGCACTGCACGCAGTAGTAGTTCATCACAGAAAGTTAGCATGCTAGCTGCATATTTCAATCAATCAATCACAGTCGCAGCACATCAAGAGGGTAATTAAGAGAGACCTGACCTGGCATGATCTTTGCGCAGGAAGAGGACATCGGTAACAACGGTGGCAAAGCACGGATACTTATCAAGCACAGGTTTCTTGTAGATGCTCATGAGCCAGTCGCAGAGGTAGGATACTTGGCCATGCAGCCCGAGGCACAACGGCACGGCACGGAGCCCGCTTTTTTAGCCCGACACGAGCACGGCCCGGCACGGAGGCTAGCGGGCCCGGGCTGGCCCGGCCCGACGGAGCAGGCCGTGCCTGGGCCTTACCCTAGGCACGTGGGCCGGCACGGCATGGCCCTTCTGAGCAGCAGCCGGCCCGCTAAGCGGCCGGCTGCATGCCACGACCTCACCGCCCCCTCCCTCCCTAAGGCCCACGCCGTCCCCCGACCCGCTACCCCCCCCTATATATAGCGGCCACCGCGCCGCCCCTCACGCCCGTCACCCCGAACCCTAGCACCGGGCGCCGCTCCCTCTCCGCCTCTCCTCACGGCCTCACGCGCTCACGCCTCACCCCAACCCCACCACTCCTCCTCTCCCTCACGCCTCACGGCGCCCTCCTCTCTCTCTCCGGCTCTCCTCACCCCTCACCGACGCCGCTCCCTCTCTGGCTCTCCGCCTCTCCCTCACGCCTCACCCCAAACCCTAGCGCCGGCCCCGAGCTCCGCCCCGACGTAGATCCAGTGCCCCGAGATCCGTCGTCCTCCTCACCGCGCTGCAGGCTGTCCTCCACACTCTTCCTCCCCTCTCCCTCAGATCCGGCGAGCCAACGACGGTGGCACCCTCTTCTCGATCCGGCAAGCCCGGCCGACGGTGGCGCCCCCCCACCTCTCCCTCGGATCCCATGAACCCAAAGGCGGCCCAGTGGCATCATCTGCTGGCAGCGCGCGCCACCGGTGGCGGATCTAGGATTCTAGGGTTCAAGCGCGTGCAAGAATCTTCTTCCTGCCGCCCCCTGCTGCCCCACCTCCAGGCGGCCTTGGCGCGGCGGATGTGCCTCTGGGCGAAGGCGCGTGGCCGCCGCCGCCTCCCGTGGCGCCTTGCCTCCTGCTCTCCCCTTCCCTCTCTCGTGGGCCTCGAGCTGGCACGACCTGTGAAAATGGCCGTGCCTCGCGGGCCGGCCCGGCACAGAAATCGGCCCATAGTGCCGTGCCTGGGCCGGAGGCAAGACACGAGGCCCGCAGTGGCCCGACATCCTCCGGGCCGTGCCTGGCCCGTGCCCGGGCCATGCCGAGCCGGGCCAGCCCGATGGCCAAGTTATAGAGGTAGCCTATCACCCTGATCAGGCCGTCGACGAAGGCCTTGTAGGCAAGGAGGTCAAACAGGAACACATTGAGGAGCCTGCCCTCGCAATTGGCCTTCCCTGACCATCTTCGCCAGATACTTCACGTTGAAGATCACATACATCTTCTGTCTCGCGTTGCGATCTTATGTTAATCGATCAGTTGTGTGATCAGCCAAATCATACCAAGGGGAGGTCGAGGATGGACGAATCAAGCAAATCAACAAGGGTTTCGTTGGGGCTTACGTTAGGTAGACATCGACATGGCTGTGCATTCGGATGCAGGCAAGTAGCCGCCGGCGACGGAGGCGCTTCGTGCAAGGATATTCCAGCGAGTGCAACAGAGGGCGCTCGCCGCCCTCGACGGATCCCGCCACCGCTCGGTCGCCGCCCTCGCCGGATCCCGCCATCGCTCTTGGTATGATGCAATTTCTTCAACTCCTATTAGGTCACGCCAAACCCTTGTACAAGGAGAAGGAAGAACCCAGACAACCCAAAAAAACATGGGAAAATTCGTCCTCTAGGTGTTAGAATCGATGGTGTACCTCTCTGTAACCGTAGATCGGGGAAGGTTCCTCGCCTTTCTCGGTTGAGGCGCATTGGTAAGCATGGACGCCGATGCCGTGGTGTAGTAGACGTTGTAGTGGCGAGGAGGTGAAGTCCAGTGGCCCGGTGTAGATCTGCTGGGGCGACGGCGGTGCGGTAGGACATCCCGTCGCTGGCAGCACTTTTTTAGATCGGATTAGGGTTTTCTGTAGGTGGGATGGCGGCTCCAGTGAACCTCGTAGTCCGAGGCTTGATCCTCACATTCCTTTTATGTGTGCTGTGCGATAGAAGCCCACCAACCATATTAGGGTTGGGCTTCCTCGATCAGAGAGCAGAGACAAGGATCGTTGGATCTATCGGTGGAGATCAGCTAACACACTAGGCTCTAGCAGCATTAAAAAAAAGATCGCGTGCTTTGGAAAATACCACCGAAAGACGTGACGCAAACAGGGGATGGCAATTGTGCCCTTCACCAAGATTACATGGGCGGCGTGCTCTGCTTCGTCCAGACGCCGCCGCCCGAGCCTTGCTCCTTCTGGCGCCGCCTCTGTTCCCCCACCGCGGCGCCGCCCCTGCTCCCCTGCTGGTGGTCCTCCAGCGCCGCCCCACCCCGGTGCCGCCCCTGCTCTGGCCCACTCCGGCGCCACCCCTGCTCCGCGCTACTCATAAGCCCGAGGGCGAACACCGGCTTCCCCGTGTCCTTCTCGCAGTGCTCGATGTACCTCCGCTCGGTGGGTTGGCGGCGAATAGCTTCGCGAGGAGGTTGACGGCGACGGCGAAGGGCCCCGCGAGCCCACCCGTGAGCGCTCCCCGTGGATGCGGATGCGGAGGCCCGCGGCGGCTGCCGAGCCTGGAGGCGTTGGCGCACGTGAGGACGAGCATGGCATCGGCCCGGCTGCTATTTTGGGCGTTCAGGTCCAGGCGCAGGCCCCAAGTGTTTTCCAGAGGGACCAGCAGCAGCAGCTTGAACCAGTAAGAGCATTTGGGTCATAGTTAACACTTCTACCACCATACAAAGTTTCGGTCGGAACATTACAACCTTTCAATGAATATAATGATGAGAAATCTACAACGATGAACTGTGTCAGGAAAAAAAGAATAAGTAAAAAAGAATTGAGTAAAAGCTGAGAGTTTAATCTGAACATATATGTTTTATAGCTATATATTAATTAACAACACAAACAAATATGCTGCCATGCAGCAATCTGTGTCTATTTTCAGGTGTTTCTCTTCAGGAACACAAATTTCACTTCACACTCCACCCAGACAGGGTTTCCAACATCATCATAGCAGATCCCTACTTCCGGCTTCTGAACTTTCAGCTCTGATTACAACCATGAAGCAATGCTAACCTTTCGGGGAGGAATCAATCTTGTCCTGCCTCTGTTATGAGCCTTGTTCCTCTCTACTCCACGGCACATGTCAGTTGACCAGAAGCAACTCTGATCCTTCATGGAGCTGGACTGCTGGAGCTTGTTCTGAACTTCACATATGAAACCCATCCTGAATAGACCTCATGCCCAGATGCTCTGGACCAACTATGGCGCCGTACACCGCCGTTTGCGCTGCATTGTGGAACGATCCGTCCAAAGTGAGAGGCATCTGCTGGAGAGGCTAAAGATTGGTTAGGATTCTTGAAAACCAACCTGATTACAAATGCATAATTGCTATAAATTTCTACTCTGAAAGCAATAACAACTGAATCCGTCTCTCAAATAGCTCAAGCCGCCCCTATATAGTGCACAACACAGCTAGCCGGCTTGGGTAAGTAGAAACGCTGGGATTCTGCTATGCAAACCTGAGAGACATTCTCTTCGATGGAGTCTTTGCCGTTTAGTTGCTCCTCCATGGCTGTTCTGAACCCATCTGAATTGGCCAAGCCATGAACGCCTCCCGGGAGCACGCCCGATCGCGACAATGGTGGTAGTTTGGGCATCATTTCGTGGGAGAATGAGAATCCCAGGTGAGTAGATGAACTTGAAGGAGCACTGGGGGTGCGAAAAAGCTGCATTCCACCAAATTAAGGATACATACACATTTTGTAATTTTGGCGTGCATTTCTTGCAAAACTAGAATGAAAAAGGACAAGGAAGAACTGCAGGTGAGTTAGTAGATTGCTTACATCCTTCGATAGAAGTTGTTTTATGTTGAGGCCGAGCTGTGGATTGACTGCCGCGAGCTTCATGGATAAGAACTGAGAGATGCAACGGGAATCATTTGGTCAGTACATTGCCTTTGTCAGATGAGAAAGGGAGACTTTCAGTATGAGGATTGAAGATGAACCATGCATACCTCCACTTGTCTTTGCAGGGACTGGACATAGTTGATGATCTCGTCCAGCATCACTGCCTTCCCCGTGATCTAAATCGATCCAAACCCAACCCGACCCAAAGCAAACGCGTCATTATTCTTAAGAAGTTCTGATATCAGAAAAATCAAGTAGAGCTGTTCTTGGGGTCAGGACAGGAGGGCTCACTTTAGTGCAACCAGGAACAAGGTCTTGCAGAAGCTTCATCCTCTCACTGATCTTCTCCCTTCTCAGCTGTCAAAAAAGAACCAGATTTCCTGTTCATCATTCAGGAGTATTTTCAAGTGCTAAATCTAATTCATTCAGGTGACCAGTTGCTTGCATTCTACAACACATGTATGATCCAAGAACACCAAATCTATTTGCAACAGTATTAGTAACAAATTAAAATCTGTGTGTACTGTACCTACCCTCTCTGCGAGGCTATGCCTGTTGCTTGCCTGCCCCTTCCGAGCCCTGATATGGATGTACGACTCCGACTCGTCGTTGGCCGCCGAAGCTCCCTTCCCTTTCTTCTTGCGGGTCGCCGGCGGCGTGTCCTCCTTGCCTTTGGCTTTGGCATCGTCCTCGCCACGCTCGTTTGAAGAATCCACGGACGCGTTCGACGCCATGCCTTGATCTTGATCCGTCCCAATCATCCCAAGAACGTCCTGCGCCTGCGATGCGACCATAGTGTTGGGACAACGGAGCAAACCAAGGGCTGTAGTAGTGAGTAGTAGGCAACTACCGCGTTCGGTCGCTTCCTCTTCTTGGAGCTGGAGTCCGGCTCCGGTGCCCTGGACGAGCAGGCCTCGGCGATCGGCGCGTCGTCGTAGACACCGCCACTGCCACCGCCGAACCCCGGCTCGCCGTTGCCACTGCCGGTGGTGGCTTGCAGTGGGTGCTCCTCGGAGGTGATGTACGAGGGGCTTGGAGTGGGCGCTCCGTTTGCAGCAGCGAAGCAGGAGGAGCGCACGGCCAGCTGGACAAGGCCGGGGTCCATGAAGTGCTCGAGACCGACCGGTGCTGGGAGCTGGAGCCCGAGCGTCGGCGGCGGCAAGAGCCCCCCGCCTCTCCTGTCGGAGACGACGGCGCTGCCGCCGGCTAGCCCCGCAGCCTGAGACACCGACGCCCATGAAAATGAATCCATGGATAGAGAGAGAGAGAGAGAGAGAGAGAGAGAGAGATCAAACGGGTGTTCTTGAATGAGTAATTTATGGAGCTCTTCAGTATTGACCTTTCAGGGAGCTCTTTACTCTGTGCTTTAACCTTTGCTTTTGCTTGCTTAGCTCGGTTTGGCAATTGGCACTGCATTATCTTGCCAAAAGCATTTTTCTTTCGCTTCTCGAGTTTTTCAGACGTCTGTTTTTTTGTTGTTAATCTGGTAGCATGTAATTTTATTATTATTTGTTTATGAAAAAAATATAAATTATCTCTTATGAGTTCTCTTTTTAATCATACTAGTTGATTGTGTAAAATTGTTACCTAAAAATTTAGACACCTAAAATATAACAAGTCTCTTTTTCTTATTTGTTCTAAGTAGTTTTCTTAAGTTTTCGATGTGGTAGTGTGGTACCAAGGCGATTAGCAACCTGTTCGGTTGGCTGGTTCGTTTCGTTACTGGTTCATAAAGAAGTACTGCTGACTGGTTTGTGTGAGAGAAAAATACTCTTCCGACTGGAAATTTATGATCGTTTACGACAAGCCACAGTCAAACAAACATGCTGCAGAATCACCATGTTCGTTTGAAAAAACAGAATTAGGCCTTGTTTAGATTGCAAATTTTTGCAACCTGGACATTGTAGCACGTTTTATTTGTATTTGACAAACTTTGTCCAATCATGGACTAACTAGGCTCAAAAGATCCGTCTCGTGATTTACAACCAAACTGTGTAATTAGTTTTTTTTTACCTACATTTAATGCTCCATGCATGCGTCCAAAAATTGATGTGACGGAGAGAGAGTGAAAAAACTTGGAATTTGAAGGCGATCTAAACAAGGCCTTAGACTGTCTCCAACCATCGGACCTAAAAACGAGACGCATAGGAGGGTTTGGGTACTGCACAGCGATGGGTCACGGACCCAAAAAAAATGACATTTTCAAACCGCCGACGCAAACGAGAAAAGCTCCCGTCTGCGCCTGCGCCTTCTTCTTCGACGCGCCCCTTGCTAGCGCCTTCTTCTTCGACGCTGAGCCATTGGTCAAGGCGAAGCCCGCTGCAGCGCTGCTCTGCACGCGGCGCGCGCTTCTCGCCAAGTTGGCTGGCCGAGCTTGCGCGCCATCGCGCCGCCATCCGCCTCTCTCTTCGCGCTCTCTCTCTCGATCCGCTATGCCCTCGTGACTGAGCGAAGCGCGACTGGCGGCCGAGGGCCCGCCGCCAAGCCCTTCCTCGGTCGGTGGCGCTACGGGCGAAGTGCCCCTTCGCGGGCGGCCACTGGCGAAGCCCCCTCCCACAGCGTGGCGCCCACCACCACCAGGCGCAAGCGGACGCCAGACGAAGGCGCCGCGGCGCCCGAAAGCGTGGCGCGGCGGGTCGGCTGCGCTGGCGGCGGCCTTTGCCGCCGTTGGCGAAGCGGTGCCGCGCGAAGCGAAGGGCAGCGGCGCGCGGCGGTGCGAGAGCGGGCCACCTCGACGCGAAGCGTTGCGAAAGCGAAAGCGCGCGACGACGATTTGCGTGGCGGCGAGAGCGACGCATTTTTGCGTCTCGTTCGGTGCGGTAGGCAAAATGGGTCACGTGTTTGGGTCAGCCGTTGGATGTTGTTTTCGGGTAGGCAAATCACTGTAGACAACGCATTTTGGGTCTGCCTCTCGGCGTTGGAGATAGTCTTAGCATTTCTTTTTGGGGTGACAGAACCGGCTTTCTTGAAATCAACAACAAAGGCGTAGTAGTAGTACTACTAGCTAACTGCTCCGTGAGTACTACTTGTTGCTTCTTCCATCTAATCTGACTGACATCTGACGCTACCAAATCTCACGGCCGCCTGACTGACACTCTGACAGTGCCGACTACCACCACTGACGTTGTTTAATCTGCCTGCCTGTAATTGTACTTAAAAACTGTGAGTGTCCCTTGCCCTATCATCATTAGTTGACTGTTAATATAGTGCCAGTACTACGTGGAGGCGTATTGCTGTAAACTGCGTTTCCATTCAATGGCAGGGAATTTTCTTTCTAGGGTCGTGTTGTGTTGAGATGAGGCTCAAGGGAGATTTTCTTCTGAAGAACATAAATAAGTAGGTTCTCCTGAATTTCCTTATTTGCTACGTATAGTAGCTATAATCTCAAAAGAAAGAAAGAAAGAAAGGTTACTGTTCCTTGATGCAGAATTTCCAATGCAATACAGAGCCTACTGACTGATGACTGAGATGCCCTTATTCTGACTCCCTTAGCCTCAGGGCTTAGCCTCTCTAGTCTCCAACTACTTAAACTAAACTATCATTACCCTCGGGGTTTGCGACCGCCCCGAATCTAATCTTTTGATTACTCCTATTGTCTAAAGCAAACCATACGTAGACGCTTTGATCCTGGTAACTTCCTGCTGTTACTGTTTACACCCTCCTTTCGGATGCATGTGTAGTAGTACTAAAATAAAATAAAATTCACAGTGACAGTGGGAGAGGCAAGCAAGAAGGCAAGGAGTGACTTGCAAGCTACTGCTGCTGCTGCTAGCACAGAGTTGACGGATGATGGGCTTCTCTTCTTTTGAACGGGAGCACCGCCTTTCGGTTGCTCGCCCTTTTGCCTTTGCGCACTGTGGGCTTGCATTGCATTGCAAAGTAACTTAGGCCTTGTTTAGATGGGTTAGGAATCAGTATTTGGCAATGTAGCACTTTCGTTTGTATTTGACAATTATTGTCTAATCATGGTCTAACTAGGCTCAAAATATTCGTCTCGTAATTTACAATCAAACTGTGTAATTAGTTATTTTTTTTATCTACATTTAATACTCCATTCATGTGTCCAAAGGTTTGATGTGATGGAGAGAGAGTGAAAAAACTTGCAATCTAAACCAGGCCTAGCATGTTTCCGACACCAAAGAACTGAATGCATGCCGGCCAGCCTTGCATTGCAAAGTAACATAGGCCTTGTTTAGTTACCCCAGAATCCAAATTTTGGCACTATGCAAAAAGAAGATTTCCCGTCACATCAAACTTGCGGTACATGCATGGAGTACTAAATGTTGACGAAATCAAAAACTAATTGCACAGTTTGATTGTACTTTGCGAGACGAACGTTTTTAGCCTAATTAGTCAACGATTGGACAATTATTACCAAATAGAAACGAAATGCTACAGTGCCGGAACAGTACCGACGAATTCCGGCGGCGCCGATTCTGCGCTGAACTAAACGCGGCCATAGCCAAGGAATGAAGCTTTGCGAGAAGCCGAGGTAACCAAGGCTGAGCATGTTGCTTGAAGCTACCCGAACAGTCAGTAGCAGTAGCAGTAGCATGCATGGGCATGGCCAATCTGTGTAAGCTACTTCATGAGTGGTGAACATGTCATTGGGAAGCTTGCCAAATGCCAAACACAAGGGCAGATTAAGAATGTTTCAATCTTTGGAGAGAAAACAGGGGGCTTGCATTGCATATATATCTTGAGTGAACTGTGGACAAAAGGGAGTTGTTTTGTGCTTTTGTGCAAACTGCAAAGCCAACTGCAACTGGGCAGCAGTAACTGATGTTCATCAGACCAGAGCTGATGTAAGATGGGAAGGAACAGAACGGTGTCAGCTTTCGTCGTCAGTCTCTTCAGTCTTCAGACTTCAGAGAGAGACATGTGGTGGTGGCAGAAAGGAGATGCAAACATGAAACCGGGTGTGCATGCTACGCATAACTCATGATTGAATATATATACTCCGAGACAATGACGGAGCCAGAAAAAAAATTATAGGTGGGGCAAGTTCAACGAGAAAATAAACCAAAAAGGCATCATATTTATAAAACACCGCATTCACATGGCACAAAAATATTTTGTCAAATTGGCATACTCTGTTACGTTCTTGCTCTAATTTCAGATACTCATGAACTCAAAAAATCACAAAACAATACTTTTTTATTGTTGTTCTTGCCAATGCCACTCCACAGGGACACCTCTGCTTCAACCTCGGCCGAATCCAGATGTTGGGGTAGTTGGTGCCCTTGCTCTACCGCTTAACTTGACCGCGACCATGGCGGCCGCCCTGACCCTCCTCCTCTCTCCTCCCCTCCATCGCTGGCTCCTACTCCTCGGCGGGCGCCGGTGCACCTCGAGGCATCTGGGCGGGTGGCTGGGCACTGGCGACCCTAGCGCTTATGGCACTGTGGGGTAGCGCGCCCGGCGGTGGTCTGGCCTTGATGGCGGCGTGTGGTGGTGCTGCCGCCGGCGGCGGCAACCTAGAGCGCTTCGATGGGGATTGCGAGTGCGGTGCGGACGTCGCGGATGCTCAATGCGGATAGTGAGCGCTTCGATTGGGGAATTGAGAACCAAATTGGGCCCTTATTGGGCTAAACTAAACCGACAAAAAAAAGGCCCGATGGGTTAGCAGAGTCTTCTTCATCCGCTCGTTGCCCGTTCGTTGGCTTGTCGGTTAAATCGCCGCGGCGCGCCAACGCGCGCAGCTTGCTCGGCAGCTCACGTCCTCGGCCGCGGCAACCGGAGATAGGGAAGAATAGGGGTCCGGGGTCCGAGGCTACGCCGCCGGTAGCTGGGGCGGCTGCCCCACCCCGCCCCTAGGGCAGCTCCGTCAGTGCTCCGAGAAGAAGAAGATTGTTGTTCATTTCCGAGACGGAATGGTTACCGAGACACAAAGAACAGAGGGCGGCTTAATGGGGTCATTACCGAGACTAATTGATTGTCGTCAAGTATTTTTTTTTTTTTGTGACTAAACATCGAATGATTAGTCAAGCAGGTTAGTATTCAAGTCGTAAAATGATTAGCAGGAACAGCCGAACAGGGGTCCAAGAGAATCGGATCTCGCCTGACTTGCAGGTCTGTTTAGAACAGCGGTTTGCAGAGACGCGTGGAAGCGGAATGGATCGGAGGACAGGAACGAACGAAGAACAATGCAACACGCTGTTGGTAAATAGTATTATCTTCCAAATTATAGATCGTTCTGTTTTTTGTATCTAAACATACTATGTACGTAGTACTTAGGCACCGTTTGGATGCCGAAAAATTTGACAAAATGACACTATAACAGTTTTCGTTATTATTTGGCAATTAGTGTCCAATCATAGTCTAATTATACTTAAAAGATTCGTCTCGTAGATTTCGTCTAAACTGTGTAATTAGTTTTATTTTTTATTTATATTTAATGCTTCATGCATGCGTCTAAAGATTCGATGTGACGGGGAATCTCGAAAAATTTGGCATTTTAGAGTGGAACTAAACATGCCCTTATTATAAATAAAAGCTGAAACAATTTTTTATTTTTGGAATGGGTGGAGTAACTGATCGGGTGCTGTCACTGCATGCTTTTGCTTTCCCAGAAATCAGCAGCTCTGCTCTGCTCTGCTCCCCGATTGCTTCATCACTTGTGCAGTGACTGACAACGGTGATGGGAACAGTTCCATTTCCTAAGGTTCAGTTTTCAGTTTTCACTCTCACATGGGAACAGTTAGAACTTGAACTCCAGTTTTTTTCCCAGAAAAAAAAAATAGAAAAACTTCAACTCCCTTGTAGAGGTGAGGCACGCAGTCTTGGAAACTTGCAAATGCATCAAGGTGCCGGTTCCTCCTTACATAGAAGCTCCCTAGGGCTGGAACTGGAAGGCATGGAACTCAACCAGTCCAGGTCATGTCTTTGCAATGCGTGATCGCCATATTAATCTTGCAGCAAGAATCAGAACAATATTTATACTGTGTACTCTTAGTAGAGTAAGAATCAGAGCAGCTCCTGCAAAACTGAACTCTGTTTGTGTTCATTGCATTTCCCGTTCGTTTGGCTGAATTTAGCTGAAAAACACTGTTCCGACTGAATTGTTGTGAGAGAAAAATCGTTCCAGTAAAAAAAAGAAGTGATCAAACTGACTTTTAAGGTCAGCCGAACGGGAATATATGGGACCTGGGCAGCTCGATGAACAACACAACTGGGCCCTTTGCTAAGCACGGGATCGGAAGCCCACTGGCTTTCGTATCGCTGCTGGTGTCACTCCCGCTGAGTGCGAGTGGGCTCTGCAACTGAGGCCCAATTCGAGTTCCATCGGTATTTTATATGTTGTCTCAAAAGTATTTATATGGCATGACAATGTTTTTAAAAGAAGAAAAAGTATATTTTATAGAGACGGAAATCTTTTGGCTCAACTTTCAGATAAATCATGAAATTAAAATTCTAATAAAACAATACTAGGATTAAAGTTAAATTATGAATCGAGAATAGTTGTGTAATTCATATTTCATTGTATTATTTTGCCCGACGTGGCATTTTTTGAAACAACATGGCTAGCACCCGGACATCCGGACGGACGCGCGTGTCTGGATGGCGTAGCCCGCCTATGTCCACCTTCGCCCTGCCCCACATGCGCACTCCGCCCTCGCCTTTGCGCCTGTCGGTCCTTTCCCTGACCCTCTCCTCTCTCCGCGCGGGCGACACTCGGGAGCCGAGATAAGCGGCTGACGACGAGCATACCCGTCGCACCCCAACCTACAGTACCCCCGTCCACTGGCCCCAGCGCCCCCGGCTCACCCCCGACCGAACAACATAAAATACTTGCAACATGAAAAAACATTTGAATGCAACATACGTCTAAAAACAGATGAAGTATTTGGAACATGCACTTGCAACATGTGTGTGAAACACATAAAAATTCAAATAAAAATACTTGCAACATGAAACCACTTGCTGCAACATAAGACTGAAACATTTGGAACATACTATTACAACATAAAACATATGCAACATCCACGTAAAAAACGATGGCAACATACGTCTGGAAACAGATAAAACATTTTGAACAAACGCTTACAACATGCCTCTGAAACATTTGCAACATATGCAACAATCCCCGATTTACTTTTGCAACATCAAGATGAAACAACTGCAACATACATCTTGAAACACTTGAAACATACATATGCAACATAGGGGAGGGGAAGGTTAGGGCCGGTCGATTCTGGCCGTCGGAGTGGGAATCGGTCGTGCTTGTGGGTGCCCTTCGCTCGGTTGGGGAAGACCTGAGGCGCCACGTCACATGCGCCAGCCAACCATGGCGGGGGGCGCCCAAGACATGCAACAATGAGAGAGGACTGACGACGGCGAGGAGCGAGCGAGACGATGTGACCTTGACGGGCGCAACGTAATAACGATGAGGCGCGGGAGGGGGGGGGGCATGGCACGGCAACTGATGAGCTCGCGGCGGGGTGAAGGGGGCGTGGGGGGTAGATGTGCGTCCACGCGCTCACGCTGAGATGGGCGAATGAGCGGATAAGCGCAGTGGGTATGTTTTTTTTAAAGAGAGAGAGCAGATGAGTGAATGAGGATGAACAGCGTGGATGGAATGGACGCCCGTAGCCAAGCATTTTCACTTTGGAAATAGCCTTAGAAAACTCTACGCTGGACTCGACGACCATGCCACGGTGACTTCAAAACGTCACAGGATCCTGATTGCTTCCTCGTACAAGAATCCTTACGATTCCTCATGACACACTGGTGATTGGTGAAGCGTCCCTCTCCCCATCCAGCTCATCCACCGAGACACATCAACTAAAAATGCTGCCTTTTGGCCAATCACACGTGCATTTAAATAAGCTTCATTAGGGGCTAAGCTCGGTGAGAGCTCAAGTCCAACAAATTTCAGAGGAGGGAAGCATGTGGATTGTGCCCACACACACACATGCCCACTCACACACCTCCTAATTCATCAATGTCAACGGTGGATTCATTCTTTTCCTAACGCCCACGTGTGGTGTGGTATGTGACAAGCTTATATGCTGAAATATTGTGAGAGTAAAATATTATTCCCTGACTGAAAAGTAATGCTGAATAAGCTTAAGTGAACCAGGTAGCCTGCACGTGCTGGTTTTTTTAGTGACAACAAATGTTGGTACGTATCAAGAAGAGGTACTAACTACCGAAGTCACCTTTATCTCCAGAAGTTTAAGGGCCACTTCAGTAAAACTCCACTTTCTAATTTTTAAGCTTCACTTCTTGATTTTATTATTGAGTAATTTTGATGAGAGTATAGTGGAGAGCAGGTGAGAAACAAATTCTAGAGTGAATTTGGTGGTGACTGATTGCTGAGCGGTGGAGGGTGGGTTGTTTTAAGCTCCCAGCTCGTAATGTAATCGGAGAAATGATTCTTATCAGTCCCTCAGCAGAATCCAGTTAAATTTTAATCGTTTGGTAGAGCTCCACAAAATCCTGTCGATCGAAAAAGTTAGGGGTTGATCTCTACTAAACAAGCCCTAACTCTAGATTAGTTGGTTTGTGAGACATCGACCAACCGCACATCGAGTGTTCTGTTGAGTTTCACTCTTTTAGAACCTTAATATTATATATCTAACTTTGACAAGGGTTTGAAAAGATATATTAAAATCTACAACTTTGAACAAATATGAAAATATATTTTAGAGAATAATTTAGTGGAACTAATTTAAGATAGAGGTGATCGTAAGAAATACAATATATGAATCTAGAACATAGAGATGACCACAAGGCGTGAACACAATATTTTCCCAGTTCCCTCATATATTCTAGAACATAGTGGTGACCATAAGGGACACAATATAGACTCTAAGACAATCTTACTTTCTATTTGCTCGTGTAGCATAACAAAACAAAAACACCAATACATTGCATATTTATACTGGCATGGATTATGCTGCATAAGGCATAGCACAGACAAACCGATCACACCATATGTAAATGGGGAATTCGCATGTTCTAGGTGTAAAGTATAAAATATTTCATATATAATGTTTGAAAAATTGTAGGACGAGAAGATTTTTGCGCTATAAAGCAGCACTCATTGACTTTTGTGGCGTACAGAAATTCTTTGAACTAGTCATGAGATACATCCCCTAAGGGTGGGCTTGGGCCTAGAGGGTAGAGAGGCCCGTATCGCTGCCCAGTTAGTCAACGCCCGTATCGCTGCCGTGACGCTGCTGCGATGAGCGGCATCCCAGATTCCCAGCGGCCCAGCGTCGCTGTCGTCCAGCCTGTCCTGTCGTCGTCGTTCCCGCAGCCCAAGCAACCGGCCACCTTTGCTCCGCTTTCACACTACACAGCCTTTCGGCCCCACTTGTCAGCCATAGGTAACGGCAAAGGGCACGGTCACCACTCCTAGTCCTAACCATCCTTCTCTCACTGACATGCCTGGACCTATGCCGCTTGTCGTCTTCCACACACGTAGCCACCTCCCCATCTCACTACTGACATGTGGGTCCGGAAACGTGTACCCCATCTGCCACGGAGAAATTTCATTATTTAACCCTGAATTCGCAAGACATCGAATTCACAAGCCTTTCAATATTTAACCCTGCGCACGCGAATTGTTTCAACAAGAGGGATTCTTCTCTTCTCCTCTCCTTTCTTAATTTCAATAAATCTTGGGTACTGTTTGGGACAGGGGAAAAGACCTTTATGCCCCTCTCTACACAAAAGAAGTCTGGGAGAAGATCCGGCTCTTGGCCTGTGCGTGCTTGTGCTCTGTCCATACAGGCCCTCCCCAACTCCTCTGTCAGTACAGACCCCTCAACAGCTACACACATGTGTTGTCAAAGAAAAAACAGCTACACACATGTAACATGTATTTGATAAAATTAATGTAAACAAAGTACAAATTATAATCAAATTTCAAGATAGAAAAAATAACATTAATATAATTTAAGAGTACAGGTTCACTGACAATAGCCATCCATACATTTTAGTAAATAGGTTCAAGTCAATACAACCATACAAGCAATTTAAAGAGTACATGTTCACTACAATCATCCAGCCAATTTAAGATTACAGGTTCACAAAGACAAAAGAAACTCATCCAGCCAATTTAAGATCACAAGTTCAAATAGACAAAAGAAACATCCTGATGGCTGGGCATTACAAAAGAATCATCCTGATGGCTGGGCATTACAAAAGCCATTCAAACATCGATCTTCTTTGCCTTCTTTGAAGTGAGTTTTTTCTTCAGACCTAGCCTCCTCCTTGGAGTGGTTATAGCATTACTTGCTCCTTCTCCAGCTTCACTGAATACAATAGGAAAATTGAGTGGTTCAGTACATGAACTAAAATAACCACATACATGTTTAATAAAGTGAATCATTTAACCTTTTTGTCACTGTTCTAGGGCTTGTACTAATCTGATTTGTCCCTCCAAATCCAGCCAATGTTATTTGCAGTACCCTCTAAACTGCATATAAGTGTTAGTACCCTGACTTGGATTTTATCAGGCATCAACCTTGCTACAATAGACCATGGACAACCCTCAGCTTTGCAGTACCCTCTGAACAAATCTTTACAAGATTTCTCAGTTCCAAGTTGAAATTTCCCATTTATAGCATGCTGCTTTACTGCAGCCCTGAATTCATTCATACTAGCATATATAGTTCCAGCTTCCATTGGAGGGTCTTCTCTGTCATATAAAGCAGAATCCTCACCGGGTACACGATCATGAACCAACATGTCGGTATCTTGTAGGTCCATATCATCAAGATTAATTGTGGCCGCCATCCTAGATTGCTCAGCCCTCTCATCCTCTGCCCTGAGGCCAACAAACTCATACATCGCATCTTCATCCATCACAGGAAGTGCGGCACCAATTTGATCTTGTCCAAGAGGAATAATCTCCATACTGTCCCAGTCGATTGTATGAGAAACAAATGCCTCCTTACTTGAATCTATTGGTCCAATGACATTATCATGCCCCACATTGCTTGCTGCTACCTCTGTTACAACTTCTGTAGGTTTGTCCTCAACATCAACAAACAAGAATAGCTTACTGTCACCCATCCTTTCAGAAAATGCACGGAACAGATCTGTGTCATTCAGCAACTTCCTTTCTCCACCACTCATGTCAAACTCATGTACTACAGGCTGCTGACTGCTTCCCCAATTGACCCTAGCTTTCAAGTCATTTTTTAGCATCTCCAAATTATAAGATCGGCAATCCACAACCCATTCATCAGATTTCCATGGCACATCCACAGAGCAACCATCATCGAGCTTAGCAGTGAACTCAGAAAACTGAACACACAACCTAAATGGGCCATCCCGATCGACTCTACCATGTGTACCAACAAAAAAAATAAATGAGACACAAAATCAATTTTGTGCCCCTCACCAAGATCAACAGTACTGTAAAATTGAGAAACTGAGAAGAGGAATTTAGGATCGGACGCTTACTCTGGAGGAGCCATGGAGACGAAGGGGGAGGACAACCTGCTGGCGTCAGGCTAGCAGGGAGACCGCCGACGGGGAGCTCGGCCGCCCCTAACCCTAGGCCGTCGGGCCAGGGAAGGGCGGCGCGCGGACGGGGCCGGGAGGGCGGAGGGGCCTGTGAAGCGGGGGAGATCAAGCCGGACAGACGGTCGCGGGCGTTCTCCGGCGGTGGGCGGCCACCGGCATCGGGCGGCGGCGTCTGCGAGCGGCGCTTCTCCGTCTCGCGAGGAGCGACGGAGAAAGAACGAAGCCTCTCCCAAAGTTACGTACGAGTACAGCTTCAGGATAGGAATAAGGAGGCAGGGGTAGTTAGGTCATTTTTCATGTCCTGTAAAGTGCCAAAAGATATTAGAAAATAGAAAATTAATAAAAATCCTAGGAATCCCTCGGATTAAAACAATTTATGTGCACAGGGTTAAATATTAAAAGGCTTGCGAATTAATAATGAAATTTCTCCTTCCCCAGGGGGCACGGGCCAGTCGGGCACGATTTTTTTCCCCCCATTCCCCTCTCGCTTCGCAATCGCGTGATCCATGGCTTCCTGGTCGATCCACATCCACCATCCCCGGCTCGCCGGCGACGAGATCCACCGTACCCTGGAGGCCTCCTACTCCCCCAGCGCGTCCTACTGCTCCGACGACGCCTTCGTCCCCGTCTTCCGCCCGGATCCGTCCGATCCGTCCGCGTCCGCATCGGCGGCGGTGGCCGCGGCGGCCGACCGCGTCCGCAGCCTCTTCAGCTCCGTCGACGTCGCCCTCTTCCGCGACGCGCTCTTCGCGCCCGGGTGTGACGGCGACCACGACCGCGACCGCGACCGCGACGGCCTCGGGTTCACGGACGCGGACGCGGAGGCGGCGGAGTACGACGGCGATCTCACCTCCATCTGCTGGGACTGCCTCGAGATCGAGGACGCCGACGACCCGCTCGTCGCCTCCCCCACCGCCGAGGAGTTCGAGTGGGAGGAGGTCGCGTCCGCCTCGGGCGCCGCTGGGGAAGCCCCGGACCCCGAGTGGGAGGTGCTCGCCGACGTGCCCCCGCCGCCCGCCGCTGCCGACGCCGAGGACGGGTTCGTGTACACCTCCCACCACAACCACAGGGAGGAGGCGGCGGCGTACGAGGTGCTCGTGACAGGTGGGGAGGGGCTGTTCCTCAAGAACATGCCCCCCGCCGCCAGATCCGCCGTCGAGGCGCTCCCGTCCGCCGTAGTCGCGGCCGGCCAGGAAGGGGAGGGGGACGAGTGCGCGGTGTGCAAGGACGGGGTCGCGGCTGGCCAGCGCGTCAAGAGGCTGCCGTGCTTGCACCGCTACCACGACGACTGCATCGTGCCGTGGCTCCAGGTGCGCAACTCGTGCCCGCTGTGCCGCTACGAGCTGCCCACAGACGACCCGGAGTACGAGTCCTGGAAAGCCGGTCGTACCGTAGCCGCGTGAATCATGCAACCAGGCGGTGGCGCCCCCATGCTCTTCTGGTATGGTTTTATAGAGTTGTATGTATGGGTTGGTTTTGAATCGACTGCTTTCGTCACAAGGTTGTTACTCAGCTGTATCAAAGGCAAAGTGTAGAGGTAGATGCAGAGATGGTTTTGCGCGACTTGATCGGTTTCCTTTTCTCCTTAAAGAGGGACTTATGTTTGTCCAAATGACAGAGGTTGACATATACTAGTTGCTACTACATACATACTGCTGTATTTATCCGAAAAATTCAGAGAGGTTAGCTGGATATCTTGATGCAATGGAATGATTTACTTGTTCAATATTTATAGAGGATAGCTTATATCTTGATGCAATGGGATGATTTACTTGTTGGACATTCTGGGGTTACATTTTGACTGATCGTTGCTTGCACTCTCTAATTATGTGTAGTTTATTAGAACATCAAATTGTACATGTTTATAGTGACACAGATGATAGCCATTGATTCTCTGTTGATGCTGCTGATTCATATTGTGTTCAGTCTTGTGGGCAATTGGTAACTTTTCTTGATTTATAGTAGCACAAATATTTCAGAAAAAAGCTTCAGTGCCCTATTTATAGATAAATTAAAAAAAATAGAGGATTAAGTTGGCGTGACCACCGCAAAGGATGTAATGCCATTATAACCTGACCCATAATTGATTGACCTTGACATTAGGTGGCCTGGTGTAAAGTGTGGAGTGATTGCACTTTGTTGCAGTAGATTTTGCAAGAGCCTGACAAGGCTGTAACAACACCACTGATTCGTACATAATATTTTGTCATATGTTCTTCACCTACAAGGGCCCATTTTGCTGAGCTGTTGAAACTTCTTGATATGATCTTGCTGCTGAATCCATGTAGAAGTGTGCATAGTTTGGCGACAACTTGATCAGGTTCCTGCAAGCACCGACTCAGACATTGATGCCATTGCTAAGTAATAATCCAAAAAAAAAACAATAACGTTTGTCTGGGCTTTAGACTTTTAGTATGATCCTAAATGATTTGTATCCTCTAATTTTAGAAAAGAATGATTCACAATCAATATGCTATTGAGAAGAAAAAATGCAGTGAGCATTTTTCCATAAATCATAATGAAATAAGCCTTCCATATGTGATATTGCTAGTTTTACTGACTTTTAGAGATGTAGTAAGTCCACCTAGTTTTGCAGAATAATGTAACTGCATGCTATCTTAACAGAGTTGGAAAGATCATTGGTACTTGGAGAATTAGGGTTGCTCTGAGCGGCAATATGATGATATATTAGTAGATAAGCCTTTAAAGTCTGTTGCGGTTTCTCGTTGGCATAGGATAGACGAGTGCATATGTTCTGATTTTGAATGAAATGGCATGAACGCAATATTAATGTTCATTGTCCTTACCTTGTGGACTTGTGGCACAAATTTGGATTGAAGGGATCTGTGACGGCGTGTTGAAGTCTGTAGGTTAGCAAGGCTGGAGAGTACATTTGTGTAGGTGATTTTGTATCTATGTAAGCTTGAGATTTTCATTTTAACATAAGGGCTTTCTCCAACATTACCACCCTTTTGAAGGTAATCCAAAATTTACATATTTCATCTCTCTGTTTTGGGATTATTTTGGATCGACTTAGCTGTGTGCAGTTTGAATACTTGATGCTGGATTTGGACTTGATTTAGTTGAGATTGATCTTTTTTTTTCACGGCAGAATCAAAGGTCATTATGTTGCTAAATGCAAAGTTGGTTTTGGAAATCAGGAAAAATTAAGCATTAGCCATCTTCTTTTAATCCGGTTTGGCTTACTTTTATATGCTGATGTATTCTCTTGACGACTTGTTCCAATATTAATACCCTGGTTATTTTGATAATGTTCAAAGTTTATCTGGCTGGCCTAACTTGATATCAGCATAATAATTTATGGCTACTTCTATTGTGTGGTACTTCCAACATGATGTGACCGAGTCACCAAATCACACGAAGCAGATCTGCTAGATTGAAAACTAGTGCAAGATCTTCACCGGAGTTCAACGTTGAATGATTCCCACCCTATTTTGTATTTTCTTGCTCATGCAACTCAGTAACGCAACATTACAGTTAGTCTGCTTACTCAGCCCAACAAGGCTGTCTGCTTACTTGATGAATAGATTTACAAAATGAGTACGAATTTGACATTGTTCTGTTTAATTGTGATCCATTGCTATGCTGGTTAGGTAACAAGGACCTGATAAATATTGCGAAACGAAGAGTGTTTTTTTCCCCAGGCCTGTGTTGTTTAATTAGATGTTCGTTTTCATCTCGATCTTTCATTCGACCCTCTGTATAGTTGGATACAGGTTGTTGGGCTCTTCAGGTACACGCAACTCACCTCGTCGATGCGGCGGCCTTTCTGCAATCGAAGAAATCATGTTGTTCCTTGCATAATTTTTGTGGCTCTCGTAGTAATTGATTGTGTCATTTTCACGTAATCCACTTCCTGCGCTGTCCATGAGTTGAGTGTTTTTTTCCCCCTTTTTTAAAACTGGTTTTCAAGCAATACTGGTTTGAGTTTCTTCTTTTACAATGGTTTGAAAGTTGACATGGAGAGCTCATGACCACGAACAGGAACTAGATTGACAACTTCATTCGTCTGCATGCCATTGGCGACGCCTGCTAGAAAACAGAACAGAAATGGGAACAGGTTGTCATGGCACCTGGCCCATGGCAACGGACAATTTTCAACTAAAAGCTGTGATCTTGATGGCCCAATGTGCGTCACGGGTCAGCATAAATGTTTTTAGGGAATTGCTGGCGACATAAATGTCCGATGTGATAGGATTTCGTCGGACGGTAATCTGGGCGCACTTCTACCAAAAAAATGCCATCGTGCGACCCCGGCTTCCTCGGTCGCTAGTCAGCCTGAGTCAGCCTGCCGCTGCGCCGTTCGCAGCTGCACGCGTGCGTCCGTCCCCGTCCGCCTCGTCCTGTCCCGCACGCGTACCCCGTCCCCGTCCACGCGCCCGCCCCTCCTTTCCCTGACCCCATCCTCTCTCTCCACGCTGGCGGGACCCAGGAGCCGGGATGAGAACGAGCACGCCCCCGTCCACAAGACCCCAAGCACGCCATGCGCCCTATCCGCCGGCACTCGGCTCACCGCGCCCCTTCCCCCGTCCCCCGGGCCGTGCCCCCATGACTCTCTGAACGTACCTCAGAAACAAGAAACACTTGCAACATGAAACACTTGAATGCAACATACGTCTGAAGCAGATAAAATATTTGGATCATACACTTGCAACATGTGTGTGAAACATATGCAATATCTAGATAAAACACTAGCAACATAAAAACACTTATTGTAACATACGACTGAAATAGCTGAAACACTCCGAAAATACTCTTGCAACATGTGTGAAACATGTGCAACTGAAAGTGCAATCAAGCCCTAATTGTGGGTTTTGGTGATAATGACCACACAATTAGAGAACTAATGAGATTTATCGAGATGATAAGCAGGGAATCCATGTTCGAGGATGCTACACGAAACGGAGGAGCCCCCAATTACAAACGTAGATGACTTCAAACTTAAAGGAGGTTTAAATTCTTTTATATTTTGAATTTGAGTATAGAAAAAACCGCACTATAAAGGTAGACATAATGCTTAAGCTAATATGTGCTACCAAGTGCTCAAACAACCACATGCATCCTCATATTCACAGATAAGACAGTCTACACTTCACTATTATCCTTGGTGTCTTGCGTAGTGCGGCACTGCCTCACTTGAAGAGAGGCACTGCCGCACTTGAGTCGCGGCACAAGAAAGTTAGTGTCCACGCTGACTTTCCTAGATGGCTCGAGAAGTATTAAAAGGTCTCGCCCGACCCTAAGGTCGCGGGCTCCGTCTCGCCTGACCTCGAGGACGTGGGTTCCGTCTCACCCGACCTAGAGGCCATGGGCTTCGTCTCGCCCGACCCCTTGCGTGCGGGCTCCGTCTCGCCCGACCCCAAGGACGCGGGTTCTGTCTCGCCCATAGTCATGGTCTCTGTCTCGCCCAACCTCGAGGCCGCGGGCTCCGTCTCGTCCGACCCCTTGGGTGCGGTGACCGTTGGGGGCTGGGGGTATATATATATACCCTTCCTCCCAACGGCTCTCTACCTCTTCTTCCTCACTTCAGCACGCCCAAAATAGAGCAGGAGCTCTCTTTCTCCCCCTCCATTGTTGACATCAAGCCCCAAGCAAATCCATTGATTTCTCCATCAATCATTGAGGGAAAATGGTCCAAAACTTGATTAGAAAGCAGCTCCATTGATTTCCCAACTTTAAAGAGCACTTGGTTCACGTTTTGACCGGCGGTTGTGTTTGTTACTCTTGGAGCTTGGCTCCTAGCCAGCTAGAGCGTTGCCCGTGGAGCTTGCCAACTTATGTGGCAGCCCGGAGAGGTTTGTAACCATCTCTTTAAGTTAGTAAACTCACACCTCATCTCAAAAGTTAAGTCTCTTGATTTGAGAACGAGGAAGGGTTGGAAAGCCCTAAGCCTTAGTGGCTAACCTCAACAACATAGAGGTAGGCAAGCCTTGGTGGTGAGCCAAACCACGGGATAAAAATCATTATGTCACTTGTGCTTGATTTCCATTACTTGCATGACAAATTATGGTTGAGGTGATTACTAGGGTTTATAATCGATCTACTTGTGTGTGGTGTTCCTACCACTTCTAGCTCTTCTGTGATTGTCATACCTGCAGTAAGCTAGAAAATTTCTCCGATCTAAGTTTTCGTTCACGGATTTTGAACTGTGATTCGAAATTGTCTGTAGGTGCGGCAGTGCCGCAGTTCGGCAGTGCCGCTCTCCAAAACGGCAGTGCCGTTGGGTGAATTTGATAAAAGTTTGAGTGTTTGTTTTGACATGCCTATTCACCCCCCTCTAGGCCAACTAGAGATCCTACAACAACATCCAGATAAAAAATACTTGCAACATACATCTGAAATAAATGAATCATTTAGAACAAACGCTTGTAACATGCCTCTG